CGGACTTGTCGATGGGACAAGAAGCGCCATACAATAAGTTGCGGCAAACGTCGGCCACCTCTTCGGGCAGTTCATAGGGCACCGTGATGCCCAAGGCGGTGGCATGTACAACGGCTCTTATTTGCTTAATATTATCGCGAGCTGAAATATAAAAAGTTATAAGTTTAAAAAACATTCGAGTATTTTTACGATTTTTGCGCTTACTGCCCACAAAGTTGACTTTCATTAGAGTTCTTCCGCCTTTGACAACATTACATGGTAGCTGGTCACAGCCCTCGATATCAACACCAAGTGGGAACGGCTGACCATTTTTGCCTGCAATCACGGATAGTTAATTAAATAATATGTACTTAAATAAATATTTAAATTAATAACAGTTTAATGAATAAACGACGTTGCCTAAAATTATGTATGTTGACTTCTTGTTAACTTATAACTATTTTACTTACATTGCTTAACATTAGTAGCCGATGCGGAGGCCAGTAAAAGCGCAACACACACAGTTGCAATTACTTTTTAATAAACGAAAAAATATTTGTAATTTAAAAATTTAAAATATCAACCTTATAGCAATCACCGAAGTGTACCTGCGAGTGCAAGAACTAAGAATGAAACTTAACCGCCTCAATTATGCAGCTTAAATAGTTGGGTAAGTTGGCACATTGTCTTATTACATATGAAAAACTTAAGTATATCCATATGTACATCAGGGTGGCCCAAAATTGTTTCCCTCCAGCCACTCCCAGATCTGAAGAATATCAAAAACAAGGTGACAGGTATTTTCTTTATTTTGAAATCGATTAATATTTACCCGTGCTTCCGTAGCTTTGAAGTTTCCCATGTATTTTACATGGAGGCAAATACAGTTTTTGGTAAAATTGCTATAAAGTCCTTATAAATAAACATTTTTTGATCGAATAAGACTACTTCTGTTCAGAAGTATTCAAAAAATAACACTACATATTTTATTGACCTTTAAATAATTTTAAATTTTCAAATATCTGGTTACCATATTTTTCAAACAAACAAACCTACAGAAAACTTCGAGTAGAATTTATAATAGGATAAAACACATCCATTGAGCTGCTCGTGCGTGATGTGGTTATGAAAATCACTAATTTTTATATATAACCGATAGGATTTAGCGGCTATCAAAACACACTTAGTAAAATTTTTGAGTTAAATAAAAAAAAATTATTTTTTGACGATTTTATAGCAATTATGCGAAAAATGTATTTTCCCCATGTAAATTATATGGGAGGTTTCAAAGCTCCGGCGGCATGGGTAAATATTCACCGATTTCTAAATTAAAATAAAAAAGCTTTTCTTCTTATTTTTTATATTCTTCAGTTCTGGGGGATGGAAGCAGGGAAACTAAAAAAAAAGTGGATTTTCCTATGTATTTTTGGGTCACCCTAATGTTCTTACATATGGATGTACTTACATAGACCTCCCCCGGATGCAGGTGTTAAACACCTGTATTTGTTTATAGTTTAAGTCAACACATATAACTAAAACCTAAAACCTATTGGGGAAGAAGAGACCTGACTTTCGGCCAGGTGTTCGGTAAGGCA